TTTATGTCAAAGGATATTGAATGAGAAAATACTCATAATATTGTGTTAATTGAAAAAAAGTGAGTTATAGAATCATATATCATATATATCAGCGGTCCCCAACCTTTTTGCTACCAGGGACCGGTTTCGTGGAAGACGACAATTTTTCCACTGGGGGCGGGGTGTGTGCTTCAGGTGATAACGCAAGCGATGGGGAGCGGCAGATGAAGCTTCACTCGCTCGCCCGCCACTCACCTGCTCTGTGGCCCGGTTCCCAACAGGCCACGGACTGGTGCTGGTCCGTGGCCTGGGGGTTGGGGACCCCTGATATATATGGTTTCAACCATACATAGATGGTTAAGACAATAACAATTGTCTTACATCAAGCAATTTATCTGCACATTAAAAAAGAAAAGGAAGACTACCCTAAGATGATACCAGTGGTAGTCTTCCAAATACTGTTTTCTTCCCTATCTAAAACATGCCCCAACACACATGCACACATATACAACACAAATGCAAACAGTATGACAGCAGGGATTTTGTTTTATTCACCAAAATCCCCCTGACCTAGAACAGATTCTGGCACATAGAGGCTCTAAATAAATATCTGCTGAATAAAGAAGTACACTACTTTCACAATCGGAGAAAAAATTTATTTTTAAATAAATACATTTATTTTTAAACCTTCCTGTTCAAAGATGGACCTCAGAGCAAAGCTCTGAACAGGCAGGATCCACTTTTTCTAGCTCAATACATTGAACAGTATCTTCTCGACTAACCCTTGATGCCTAATCATCGGTTCCTCTTGTATTCCTGCAATCTTATAGGCTGCTTTAGAAAAATGGGGAGAAAAGGCCAACAATACTAATTCTGCAAAAGATAAAATAGTAAACATGGCCTTAGTTGCAGGTCTCCTTTTCATCCTCCCACACAACAATACTAATTCTGCAAAAGATAAAATAGTAAACATGGCCTTAGTTGCAGGTCTCCTTTTCATCCTCCCACACAATCACCTTGTGATTGTAGCAATGGCACAGGTACGATCTATGCTAGTCCTTAAAATGGGATATTCTCCTACACACTCTGCAATTCAGAGACCTTTTCTCAGTCAGTTCACTGAAGCCACTCAGAATACGCCACTAATGCAGGAAGAAAGCATTTTTATTGACAGCATAATCAATTTTCAATCATCTCAAGTATATTATCTATTTGGAACATACACGGTAAATTCACTCTCTCATTCTGGACGCCGTGACATCAAACAGCTGGACACTCACTACTAATGGATGTGCATTTGTTTTACCATTAGGGAGGCAAATTTGTTGCAAAGCAATTTTTGTAATGTACTTCAAAATCAAATATAAATGACTTGGTGATTATCTTTTATTTTGGATACTTTCTACCTCAAGGGGCCTCCATTAGCAGAGGCGATCAGGAGCAGGCTGAAGTCGGGCTTGTGTTTCGGAAGTCTGAGGTCAGATACTGGTGTGAGTGGTTCTGCTGACGGGATACTGTTCAGGGCAAGCAGTGGGGCCCAAGGCAAAAGCCCAGTTTCCTTCTGTTAGAGACCACAATGTGATGTCACTGCCATCAGATGGATCTTATTAAGGGGTTCACAAATATTTTAAGTTTAAAATATGGACATTCAAATTAAAGATTATAAAATTATTTTTATAAATGCTAAATATCTTTGGATAACAAAAACACACGAAAAATCCAGCAATCTCTGGAATCTTAAATCTTCCCACAGACCAACTATTTTCCCATTTGTTTTGAAGGAAAAATTTTCTGCTGTGTTACAGGCGTTCTGTGGTAACAGCATTCAAAATTAAGAGAATATCCATGTTTTCATTTAAACTTTTAAACTATTTAGCTTTTTTTTACCATAAGTGGTTTCATACTGTAATATTCTATAATTTTTTATAATTAATGAATTATGCAAAATTTCTATATCTACAAATGGATCATTTCATTTCATTTAACTGTATGGATGTACTATTAATTCATTTAACCAGTTACCAGTTGACAGACCCTGCAGGGTTTTTTTTTTTTTAATAATTTTTATTTATAACCAAAAATGCTGCAGTAAATGTCCTTATGCAGCTCTCTTATTCATGGTGAATACTTCCTAGGATGGATGCTTAGAACTGCTAGAGTATCATTTTTCATTTTGACAAGAAACTGTCAAAGCCTCCTTTAAAAAGGCTATTCCAATTTATAGCATTACCACCACACATCCATTTCCCAATATATTCACCAATACCAGATATCCTCAACCTTTTAAATACCTGCCAATGTAATGAGCAAAATATGGTATTTCACTATTTTAACTCACATTTCCCAGATCACTGACTACTCATATTTTCTTCTCTTCTGTGAAATGTCTATTTATAACCTTTGTTCATTTTTCTCCTTTTCTTCTTACTTGTAAATGTTTTTATATATTCTGGATATTAATTCCTTATCTGGTGTAAGTGTTCTAAATACATCCTCCTAGTCTGTCATGATTTTATCTTTGCTTATACTGCCCACTGTCATATAGAAATTTCTGTCTTGTTTCTATACCTCCAAGTTAAAAAACATTCTCCTATACTTTTTCTAAAACAGAGGTTTTGGCATAGAAGTCCTGCCTTGTGAGGCACTAAGGAGAACAGCTAGGGACTAAGTAGCCAGGGCAGTTCCTCCTCAAGCCCTCCTGCTCCAACCCCTAGAGCTGTGAATTCCAACTTAGGAGCACCTGCTTCTAGTGCTGCTGGGGGAGCAAAGGGTGACACCTGCACCTGAAGAGCTGTTTAGTGGGGGAAGGGAATCAACTGTGGCTCTCCTGCCTGGGGGTCCCCACCCTAGGACTCACACACCCCTACCCTGAGCTTATGGACTAGCATGGATCAGGGTGTGGCCTCCTCCATTCTAACACCCGATGGAACAGCTGATACTCCTGGAGGAGAAGGAACTTACAGGCCAAAATAACAAGGTATTTGAAAAGTACAACCAGTTCAAAACAGAGACAACACAATCAACTACAGATTCTATCAGCAGCAGAAATTTTAGAAGTGAATGACCAAGAATTTAAAAACAGCTATACTAAAAGAAATACAGCAACATGAAAGAAGAACAAGAAAACATAGGGAAGAGCCAAGCAAAACTACTAGGTATGAAAAATATAACAACTGAAATAACACAATGTATGGCATAAACAGCAGAATGGAACAAAACTGAAAATTGGAAGATCGGATTGAGAAAATCTCCCAGAAAGAAGGAAAATACAAATAAATATGTTTGAAAAATAGGTAAGGCCAGAGGAAAAGAAAAAATACATCCATAATTAGCAAGAATTAAAAATCAAGGTAATATCAACGTAGTGGCGGCTGCGGGGAAGGAGACCAAAGGATGACAGAGCTTCCGCTATCTAATTTCCTGTAACTACATTTCTTCAGATAGAAAATTTAAAAAGCAAGTAAGTAGAAATGTATAGACATTAGGACAAATTAAAATAACAAGGACACGCAAAATAGGCCTAAATATAGAAATAAGGAAACAATTATTGATTCCGGGGAAAATAAAAAACTGCAGTAACACTGCATGTACATTATATATATACTATATGGCCCAACTAAACAGTGCTTAACAAGTCATAATAATAAAAGCGGTGAAGCCCTATCTAACCAAAATTATCCCTGAGGAAGATGAGGACATCTTTTATTACTATCAAGCCTGCATGTGTGGCAGGGAGGAAGGAGGAAAGAAAGCCAAATCCTTATCTTCTGGTGTGAATCAAGGGCTAATGTGTAGGGACTTCCCTTGGTGGTCCAGTGGTTAAAACTCTGTGCTCCCAATGCAGAGGGCCCAGGTTCTATCCCTTGTCAGGGAACTAGATCCCGCAGATATGCCGCAACTAAGACCTGGCACAGCCAAATAAATAAATAAATAAAAGAGCTAACGTGTAAAACATAAAAATTAAAAGGTAACTAAACAAGGATATTATTTAGAAACAGAGGTAAATGACAAAATAATCTGTCATAAATGAAGGGACAGCGGTTGCTTTTAAGGAAAGGCAATATAAGGGGCAGGAGTGTAGATCATCAAAACTCTTCCAGAGCTGTTTGAGTCTTTAAACTATGTCATGTGTAACCCTTACTAAAGCAAATACTTAAGAGTATGAGGGAAAAGAAGAGGACCCAGAATTCATAAGAGCTGGACTCACCACCCTCGGCAGCTTGGGAAGTCTGGGTCGGTGAACCTGAGGAACTATTTACATCCTATGCAACTAACCGGAAGCAAGCCTCTTCCATGGAAGACACCTGAGGAATCAACTGAAGACAGTCTGTCCCATTTAGAGAAAAAGAACCAACCACTCTATCTATCAAAAGATGCAAACTTTTCATTGTCATGTGCCTTGGAGGCCAAGGCTGGAGTTGATACAGGTGCCATTAGGGACGAGTTCAACGTCCTACTCCCTTTCCTCACACAGTAGTAGCCGAGGAGAGTTCTCTGGCAAACAATGCTTGGCAGGGCTGATCCCAGACGACTGCACCTGCCAGAGTTATTAAAATGACTTCCTCAGAGAGCCCATTTCACGTCTGCTGTTTCCAAACCGATTAAGAAATAAGTATTTTTTTCCAGAAATAATGACTCCAGCACACCACTGTGAATAACTGATGACTTGGTAAAATTTGCAATGTTGACGCATCAAACACAGACAACAGAGCATGAAGAGAGGATCTTGGCAAAGAGCAATGCTTGTGCTAGTTCACAGTATTTCCGTCTTTTATTATTATCAAACACACTGTAAAGACACAATTGCTTTGGCTGTTTCCAAGATAATATACAAAATAAGTTAGACATGTTGAATCCTGTCTTCCTGTTTATTAATCTGAGGCAGAGCCACAGATGTCCAACATTCAAGCATCTGTTCCTATTCCTTGTATATAGGTCCTGAGATGGAGTTTATTTTAGGGGTAGGGAGCAAAGCAAAAACACAGATGGAAGAAAATGGCAGTTCAGGAAAGCCAACGTACCTTCAGCATGTAGTAGAAGGGGAACCATGACAGGAAGAGGTCAGAGAAGAATTCGGCAATGCTGAACACACCATACACTACCCAGTAGGTCAGCCACTGGGTATCATCTTCTTTGTTTGGACTCTCTATCGCTTTAATTCTGAAAGGCAATACAAAAGCAAGTGTATCATGTAGTAAGATCTCAATGAGACATTTTCAAACATTATACTTTCACAGCTGCCCTCCAAGACCAACTGAGAAACTCAGGCAAATGTATGCATCATGTCACTAGATGCAAAAGTACAACATGAAAACAGGCAGCAATGTAGAGATGTCAGGACAAGCCATTATAACTACCTGTTACCAGTTCTCTGGTTACCAGAGAAACCAGCACCAGTTGTCCCCTGGATCTCTACTCTGCTTTAGTCTCCACCAAGGCTCCAGGAAACACCACCAATGACTGGGAACTAGAGTAATCCCCACTCTCAAGTGGGGTCCTGCCACTAGGGATATATCAATAATTCACTCATGTAACTCAGTTCTTATGCACTTTTAATAACTGAAGTACATCATGGTGAGGAGGCTTTCCATAAAAGACCTTCTGGAACATAGTTTAGGCACTGTCCAAAGTTCACAACACACTTCATTACAAAGAGGTGAAAACAAACATCATGGTGTCCATTTGGTTTCGACTGACATTATGTGATCCTCAGGCTGTGACCTTTCCTCCTCTTATCGGTTAATATGACTTTCTCAGTATCAACTACTGCTTAAACAAAATTTACTCTGTAAATGAATAGAACTAAATTTAAAATAACCTTCTTTTACTTCTGAATCACAGGAATTTCTTCCAGTCCTGGGAATCCCTTCATTCTAAACCTCAATTCCATAATCTTTTATCCTATCCTGATACATGCCTGGATACTTATTGTAACTGAGCTGGACTACAACAGTAAACTAGAAGAAACCTGAATCTTGTTTAGCCTATGCGATGGGTTAACTATTAAAAATACATTGGCTACTTGGTAACACGGGTTCACCAAAGGGACAGGCTGATGAATCATGCTGAGTCATCCCCTCAGAAAGCCTCTGAATTAACTGGAAGTAGCTGTGGGTGTAGGTGTGAGTGCCTGCATGAGTGTTTTAAGAAGATGACTGAGCAGGGAAAAGTTATAGCTGAATGAGATGACTGCTAATGAGGAAAAGGAGAGGAGGGAGTGATTAAATGAATGCTGCTTTGAACATCAAGAATAAACACAGAATCATAAAATGAATTGAAGGCAGCTAATTATAAAATAATGGCTTCTCACATGTGGACTGTGTTTGTGTTTTAGCTTTCCTCAGGTAGAAGCTAGCTGATGTAATAGAAGGCCGAAGGCCAAAGGAAAAGCGTAGGCAAGCATGTGAACCAAAGGACTAAAAAATGTATACCCTTTACACGTAAGGTTTTTTTCCCCTCTGTGCTTTATTTGGTATGGAATATGGTTTACCTATTTATATTTAAGTGGATTTTTAAAGTTATCACTATGGTAAAAACTTGTTTCTTACACATCCATCCTGGGCAGAGGGGATACATGGTTATATTTCACTTAAGGTCTTAGTTTTGGGAACCTAAGCAGTCCATGACTAACCAGCAAACACACATCTACACACAAATATAAACTGAAACAAACATTTATGAAACCACTGATATTTTCAATTCCATTCTATGTCATTATTATTTTTTTATTGAAGTATAGTTGATTTACAATGTTGTGTTAGTTTCTGGTGTATAGCAAAGTGATTCAGTTATATATATGTGTATGTATATATACTTTTTAATATTCGTTTCCATTATAATTTATTACAAGACATTGAATGTAGTTCCCTGTGCTATACAGTAGGACCTTGTTGTTTATCTATTTTATATATAATAGTTTGTATCTGCTAATCCCAAACTCCTAATTTATTCCTCCCCACCCCCACTCCCCCTTGGCAACCACAAGTCTGTTCTCCATGTCTGTGTGTCTGTTTCTGTTTTGTAGATAAGTTCATTTGTGTCATATTTTAGATTCCACATATAAGTGATATCATATGGTATTTGTCTTTCTCTGTCTGACTTCACTTAGTATGATAATCTCTAGGTCCATCCATGTTGCTGAAAATGGCATTGTTTCATTCTTTTTTATGGCTGAGTAATATTCCATTGTGTATATATATAGATAGATATAGATAGATATATAGATAGATATAGATATAGATATATAGATATATATACACAGACACACACCACATCTTCTTTATCCATTCATCTGTTGATGGATATTTAAGTTGCTTCCATGCTTTGGCTATTGTGAATAGTGCTGCTATGAACACTGGAATATGCATATCTTTTCCAATTATAGTTTTATCTGGATATATGCCCAAGAGTGGGATGGCTGGATCATATGGCAACTCTATTTTTAGTTTTTTGAGGAACCTCCACACTGTTTTCCATAGTGGCTGCACAATTTACACTCCCACCAACAGTGTAGGAGGGTTCCCTTTTCTCCACACCCTCTCCAGCATTTGTTCTTTGTGGACTTTTTAATGATGGCCATCCTGACTGGTATGAGATGGTACCTCATTGTAATTTTGATTTGCGTTTCTCTAATAATTAATAATGTTGAGTATCTTTTCATGTGACTAGTGGCCATCTGTATGTCTTCTTTGGAGAAATGTCTATATAAGGTTCTGCCCATTTTTAATTGGGTTGTTTGTTTTGTTGTTATTGAGTTGTATGAGCTGTTTGTATATTTGGGAAATTAATCCCTTGTCAGTCGTATTGTCTGCAAATATTTTCTCCCATTCTTTAGTCTATCTTTTCATTTTGTTGATGGTTTCCTTTGTTGTGCAAAAGCTTATAAGTTTGATTAGGTCCCATTTGGGTTTTTTTGCTTTAATATTGCCTTGGAAAACTGTTATGTCATTATTATTATTTTTATTTATTTTTTATTTATTTATTTTTGGCTGTGTTGTGTCTTCGTTTCTGTGCGAAGGCTTTCTCTAGTTGTGGCAAGCGGGGGCCACTCTTCATCGCGGTGCACGGGCCTCTCACTATCGCAGCCTCTCTTGTCACGGAGCACAGGCTCCAGACGTGCAGGCTCAGTAGTTGTAGCTCACGGGCCTAGTTGCTCCGCGGCATATGGGATCCTCCCAGACCAGGGCTCGAACCCGTGTCCCCTGCATTATCAGGCAGATTCTCAACCACTGTGCCACCAGGGAAGCCCCGTTACGTCATTATTTTTAAGATGTTAGTCAAGATCCACAGATTCAAAAACAGAAAAACTACTCTAACAGTTCAAGTTCAGTCTCTCAAGGAATAAGCTCCCTAACTTATCAACAATATGAATTCAAAAGTTTCCATGCTGATACACTTGGAACACTCTATAGTAACACTGAAAAGTAGGAAGAACTCAAAATTGAGCACACATATTGAACACAACTTTGTAGAAAAGCAAGGCCTGGGAAAAAAGACAGGAAAAGATCACAGAGTCTCATTAAGGTAAAGAGAATTTTTAAATAGAACTTCTATTATTGAAGCAGTTAATTACTGTTTTAATTAAAAATACCACAATGTTCATTTTTTAAAATGTGTCTACATGTCATAACATCATAAGCTAGTCAGAACAAGAAAGAACATAGAAGATAGTCTAACCCACTCAGTGTACAGTTGAGGAACCTAAGACTCAAAGAGGTAAGAGAAGAAAAGCGTTTAATACCGGGATTTCCTGAACGCTATTTACGTATATACTGTCTTGTCCAAATGAGTGTATGCAAAATTGTGATTTATAAGCAAAATATATATTTGGTCATTCCAAAGACCAAAATATAGTTCTCCTATATATTTGGTCTTCATCCAGGTTCCTGCACAGCTCCCCAAACCCTTGCAATTTCTGAAGTGTTGAGAGGGATAAAGGTGTCTTTTGCTATGTCAATGAGGTGACTTTTATAAAGCACATAAGGAGGGGAGCTGGATGTCCCTGGAGCCAACTATGTGATTAGAGGGCTGGAACTTTCAGTCCCATTGCTGACCTCTGGGGAGGGTAAGGGGCTGGAGGTTAAATCGATCACCAACGGCCAATGATTTAGTCAGTCATGACTATGTAATGAAGCCTCCATAAAACCCCAAAGGACAGCTTTTTGTCCCTTTTCAGAGAGCTTCCATGTTGGGGAACCACAATGCTTCCTTGTGCCACTCATGCTGGACCCCAAACTCCATGAGGACAAAAGTTCCTTTGTTTGGGACCTCGCCTATGTATCTCTTCATCTGGCTATCGATTTGTTTCCTTTTATAATATATATTGGTAATCTAGTGAGTAAATGGTTTTTCTGAGTTCTGTGAGCCATTCTAATTGAACCTGAAGAGGGGGACGTCGGGACCTCTGATTTATAGCCAGTTGGTCAGAAGCACAGGTTAACAACCCGGGCTTGTTACTGGTGTAGGAAGTGGAAGGCAGTCTTGTTGGACTAAGGCCTTTACCTGTGGAATTTGATTCTATCTCCGGGTAGAAGGTGACAGAACTGAGTTGAACTCTCAGACTCTGCTGGCATCTGAGAATTGCTTGTTGGTGTGGAGAAGCCTTCGAATTTGGCTCTCTGCACATGGGTGATTCTTTGACAATGTGCTCTACTGCCATGTACCTATGCTAAATGGTATTTCAACTCGCGTATCAGAATGAGGATGTATCAACTTTTCAGGCAACACAGGGGATTCAAAAAATCCTAAGATGCAGTCTCTATCCTTAGGTCATGTGTAGTTTTTGGTCTTTAGCCAAAGTGGCAAAGCTAAAGAATGGGAAGGGTAGGAACCTAATAATTATTTAATATAACCTTCAGAATAGCCCTATGGAATAGGTAATGTTATTCTCATTTTTGAGAGGAAGAAACTGAGGCTTAGGGAAGAAAAATAACGTGGACAGGGCACCCAGCTGCAACAGCAGAGACTGGGTTTACACCCAAGACTAACTTCAACAAAGCCTGTGTCTGTTTCTCTATCCCAAGCTGTTTTCCTAATTGGGAGAACCACTCACTACCCGACTGCACAGCACTTAGCAAAGTGTCTGGTGCTAAGTGGGCAGCTACTAAATATTTATTGCATAAATATAAATACAAAAGGAGTTCATAATCTTACTTTTGGAA